CTAAGGGCCATCCAATCACTGTATTCTGATAGCAGGTGCTGTGTCAGAGTTAATGGGGTTAAGTCGAAACTATTCAACGTTCGCACTGGTCTCCGCCAAGGCTGCGTCCTGCCCCCTATCCTGTTTGTGTTGCACATGGATAAAATAGTCAGGAGCTGCCAAGGCGATGAGGGTATCGGTGTAGGAGATGTGAAGTCTAGAAGGTTGCTGTTTGCAGACGACCTTGTTTTATTAGCATCTTCTGAAATTTAACTTCAGTGCTCTTTAGAAAGGTTCGCAGCCGAGTGCGACGTGAACGCATCTGAAACGAAAAGCCTAGTGCTTTCTAGTGGAGAAATCAAAGTACCTCGGAATTGTATTTACTAGTGATGGAAAATTGGAGGAAGAGTTCGACCGGCAAATTGGAGTAGCCAGTGGGTTCTGCGTGAAGTAGCCCGATTCACTGTGATTAAAGCAGAGCTGGGTCTGAAAACTAAGCTCTCCGTGTTCAAGTCGATCATCATGCCCATGCCTACCTACGGTCATGAGGTGTGGACCATCACTCAAAAACTTCGAACTCGGGTACAAGCTGCTGAAATGGCCTTTCTTGAAAGAGTCGCTGGTGTTACATGTCTCGACATGGTCCGGAATACTGACATTCGGAAGATCCTTGGTATACAGCCTTTGATTCTCCAGATCAAGAAGTCACAGCTGCGATGGTTTTGCCATGTGTTGCAAATGCCTCCAGAAAGGAAGGCTAAGCAAATGTTTCTTGTCCAACCGACCAGCAGAGTGCCCAAAGGACGGCCAAGATTAACCTGGTGCAAATATACGGAAGCAATCTGTTCCAGACTCCCGTTGTCTTCTATCGAAGATCAAACTCTGGCACAGAATCGAGAACGTGGAATCAGTGTCCGACGCCTCTGCCTCCGCGACTGGGAAAGAGAAGCGGCTGTGGAAGATGAAGACGAAGATCTTTTATGCGGAAATACACTTCGTTCTCCATCGACGTAATCTCTTGCAGATTTACTCTGCCAGGTCATACTACACAAAAATCGTCAGACGTAAAGAATCGCATCAGAATCGTCTTTCGAGATTACATAATTGGGGGAGGGGGGGGTCAGCAATGCAATGGTCTAGTAGTTTG